AAAAAAAAAAAAAAAAAAAGAAAAAAAGGAAAGAAAAATCCCACAGATACTTTCATCAGGGTTCTCTTACTGAAATACTGAATCCGGCTGTTGAAGCGGTTGGCCTATATGTTGCAGTCCCCACACAGAAGTTCTGATCAGCTTTTTCTTCATGTCGTCACTCTCATAGGTAAGCAGACAGCCAAACATCATTAGAAAATTAAGGGGGCCGGGGATTTAGCTCAGTGGCTTCACTCCTGCCTCGCACAAGGACCCGAGTTCAATCCCCGGTACAAAAAAAAAAGAAAAGAAAATTAAGGAAAGCCTTTAATATGCAAAAATGAGCCAGGCATGGTAGCTCATGCCTGTAATCCCAGCACTTGGGAGGCAAGTCAGCCTGGGCTCCGTAATGAGTTCCCGGCCAGTCTCAACTACATAGTGAGACCCTGTCTCAAAAATACAAAAAACAAAAAACGAGACCAAAAGAAGCAAGCAAGAAAAAGAAAGAGGAAACATTGCAAGGGAAAATTTTTTTATTAAAAAAGTTTTTAGTATTCTCACAGAGATAATACAGTGCATTTGCACAATAACAACAGAAAGCTATTTTTAAAGTAACTATTATTCATATACCCCCCCTCAAAAAAAAACCTCTTGGAAATCAAAATAATGTTAGGAGGAATAACTCAATAGAAAGACTAGAGGAGTAAGCTGAGGTCATAACTTAGGAGCTCTGACTAGCACGTGTGAGGTACTAGTTTCGATTCCCGATACTGCCAGGGTGGAGGGGAAGCATAAATGTGAAGATCAAATTTGAGCTACCTGAGGGGAAATTGACAAAAAATTATAGGTTTGGTTCAAAAAGTCAAACATCTAAATAATAAGAGTTCCAGAAAAACCATAGAGAACCAGGATGAAAGAAATCAGCAAATAAATCATTGAGAAGAGTCTCCAAATGGAAAGGGCATAGTAAACACCCAGTACAACAAATCAAACCCACACCAAGTACATCAGTATAGAATTTCAGAACATGGTACAGAGAGGCAACTCTAAAAGCGTCCAAAAATTAAAAATTAAAAAGAACAAATAGTATATATATATATATACACATATATATATATGTGTATATATATATATATATATATACACATATATATATATGTCCAAAGTCAGAATAATTTAAGTTATCAACTCGTTGGCACTGGGAGCTAAACAGTAGAAAATGTTTTCACATTTTTGAGGGAAATTATTTTCAAACTAGAATTCTACACTCAGCCAAGCTATGATTTAATTGTGTGTCCAGTATAAAGACCATTTCAGATGTCCAAGGTCTCAAAATACTGGAACTCCATGCATTGTTTTTTAGAAACATGAGAGGATTTATTATACCAAGACAATCCAGTATGTCAAAGAGGAGATGTGTGGAATCCAAGAATCAGGATCCCACCAAAGAGATCAGCACCAAAGAGAGACAAGAAGGATCCCCAGGGCAAAGGGAAAGGGAAATATCGAGCTGTTCGACCATACAGGAGATCAACTCATCAAAGTTAGAGCAGTTCAAAAAGGGTAAGAGTAATTTTTTTCAAGAATATAAATTGACAAGGTACTTAATTCATTTGAACTTATGGAGAAGAGATGCATAACCAGAAGAATTTGGGGATATAGTAATAAATATGTGGAAAGCCTAAGGAGAAGAAAAGACAATGATTAATTCAAACAATAAAAATTTGGACAGGAAAAAAACAAATTTCCATTTTCTTCAATATGGTAGATATTTCTAAAATAACTAAGCCACAGTTGTTCTCTGTACTGCTTCTTTGAGGGGCCAGCCCTGCCTGATTGCCTATAATATTTCTAATTAATTTAGCTGCCTACAATAATAACATTTCCCTTATATTATTTGGAAGTCCATGTTTTTATTTGTTTGTTTGTTTGGGTACTAGTTATCAAACTTAGGTCCTTGCACTTTCGAGGCAGGTGACAGAACCACTGAGCTAAATCCCTGGCCTGGAAGTCCATATATCATATGCCCTATATCAAAAAGACAAGGGAATTCCCAAGCCAGTTTAGAAGCATGTAAGAGCAGTATGCAAGACACAGGTTGAATAATGAATATATGTAGTTGAAACAGAGACAAAAATATAAATGACAATAGTTACAGACTTTTTTTGGAGACATAGTCTTGCTATGTAGTTCAGGCTGGCCTCAAACTCTTAGCAATCCTCCTGCCTCAGCCTCCCCAGTGCTTGGATTGCAGGTATGTACCACCATGCCCAGCTAGTTACTAACTCTTTTTGTTTTGTTTTTGTTTTTGTGGTACTGGGGATCGAACTGAGGACCTTGTGCTTGCAAAGCAGGCACAGTGCTACTGAGCTAAATCCCAGCTATAACTCTTCAGTTTGTAGTACAATTTTAAACTGCATATCAGTGTTTGCATAACAAGAAATGGCATGAAATCATTTCACAGTTGCCTATTTGCATATCACAAATGTTCTTTGCTTGATTCCGTTTTCAGTTGTATGCCTTAAAATTGTACATTTATTAACTAATCAAAAAACTTATCTAAATCTTTGCTTGGATTTGATTACTACAAATAAACATTGCCTTTTAGATTGTAAAATAAATAAGTAATTAAATAAGCCAAAACCCTTCAATCTATAGTTAAAATGCTCCTGAAGAGGAG